AGCAGGGGGTCTGCTTCTCCCTCTGACCCTCCCCCCTCTCATGTGCTCTCTCTCTCTCTCAAATAAATAAATAAAATCTTTAAAAAAAAAAAAAACTCAACAGTATGAAAAGAAACAATGTTTTAAATGAGCAAAACTTCATAGATACTTCAAAGAAGAGGAGATGCTGATGGCCAAAAAAATGCATGAAGATGGTCAACATCCTGAGCCATTTGTGAAAGGTAAATTGAAAGCATGGCTAAATGCTACTACAGGTTACAATGACTCATAAAAAAATACTGACAATTCCAAACGTCGGGGAGAACGTGGTGCATCTGGAGCTCTCGTGCATTGCTGGAGGGAATGCAAAACGGTACAGCTCCTCTGGGAAACGGCCGGGCGGTTTTCATACTGCCAAACATACCATTACCCTATGACCCAGCAGTCCTACCCTGGGTATTTACTCTGAAGACATAAAAACATGTTCACACAAAAACCTGAACATGAATGTTCAGTCTCTATTCACAATCACCAAAAACTGGAAATAGCCCAAAAGTCCTTCTACAGGTGAATAGAGAGTGCAGTACATTTATACAGTCCCACTCAGCAAGAAAAGGCAATAAACCACTGACGCACACAATAATTCTGGAGGACTGTCAAATGCATCATGTTGAACGGAGGACAGTTTCAAAGGTTACACACTTTGTGATTCCGTTCTTGAAAAGACAAGTCAGAGAGATGGAGTCTGGTAGTCAGGCGCCAGGCTGGGGTGGGGGGTGGGATTTCCACGGAGGGAGAGCTCGAGGGGGTATTTCAGAGTGCTCCAACTCTTCTGTGGACTGATTCTGACTATGCTTACATGAACCTATATGTATGTTCCAATTCACAGAACTGTTCGTCAACATAAAACCTGCTCAAATAACAGATATAAAATGCACAGGATCTGAATGTTGGGATTCAAGGTGTCATCATCTTCTTTGCACTTTCCTAGATATACCAACCTGTATCTAGTAACTAATGATTTATAATAAATCAGTTTTATACATAGAAACAAAAGGCTCCCAAATGGCTGCCATATGGAGGTGCTCCATGTCTGTGACTTCGGTAGAAGCCAAGCCTGATGATTCAGTGTTCTCTCCTCCTATCCACTCCTGTATAATAAGGAAGGCAAACGAACCCTTTTCCTCAGTTTTATCACAGATGGGTGGTGGGTGGGGTGGCCGAAACTAGACCTTGAGTGAGGTTTCCTGATCAAGCACATGAGGTCACGTTCACCCATTGTCCCATTCCATCCAGTCAGGTGCAATAACCAAGAACATCACAATATTTAGAACTTCTTCCTGAATATGCAGTGTCACACTCATTCCCCAGGGATCATGTTTTGATCAAGTGTAAACTGAAACTGAGATCACCAGGGAGAAAGAATCTGCCATCTTCTTTCCTTCCTTAAGTCAGACTTGGCCTCCAACCCTCCACCGTCTACCCATCCATCACATAGCCATAATCTCAGTTCTACCCTCTGCCCCCCCCATCGAATCTGCTTTTATTTATTCTTAATATTGTATTTATTTATTTTAGAGAGCGAGAGAGCACAAGCAGGGTGAGGGGCAGAGGGAGAAGCAGGCTCCCCACTGAGCAGGGAGCCTGATGCAGGACTCGATCCCAGGACCCTGGGATCATGACCTGAGCCCAAGGCAGACGCTTAACCGACTGAGCCACCCAGGCGCCCCGAATCTGCTTTTAATGACTGGATGTGTATGTTATTCATCTGTTTATCTATGTTGTTCATCTCTGTTTATCTTGTATCTACCCAGGATTTGAGAAGTGGCAAATCATTGGTATACATACAATGGATGGGTGGATAATGGATGGATGGATAATGGATGGATGGATGGATGGATGGATGGATGGATGGATGGATGGATGATGGGTGATGGTTGCCTGGATGGACAGAGGGGAGGGAGGGAGGAAGGAAGGGCAGAAGAAGAAGACCAATCATTTTTCTTTGCAGTAATTTCTGTAAGTGATGCCCAGTCTGGCTCTCTCATTTGGAAGAACTGCAAAATAAATATGATCTAAGGTAGGCAAAGCTTACAAATTTATTAGTGGCTCGTGCAGTAACTTTTAATGTTTCTGTGGCAATACTAGCAACAAATTAATAAAAGCTTAATTTTTATACAAATAGTTTTATTACAAATTCGAATTTTTAAGAAATACACATTGAGAGAAATTACATAAAAGGCCTTAGTAGTCTTAAACGTTTTGGAGACTTTGGGTGAAATGTCATTTCAGGCATAGTGGTCAGTTCTGCTCTCCTGAAATCCACCCGTTCCCTGCTGACGTGCACACAGTGCTCCCGAGAACGAGGAAGCCACGCGAAGCGCTTCCACGTGGGTTACTGACACTAAGATCCTACAGAGCTGTTTTCCACACCAGGCTGCAGAATGAGGAATACGAATGAAACGAAGGCCTTTTACGGTTGCTGGTTTTGAAGTCAAGTCATTCAGTTGTGATTAGTGTTTAAAACCCTGAAGATATTTAATACAGAAAAAAAAACAATAAAGCCCAAAGTACATGCTTCACTGTAATAGACACCGCGCTCATGAACCTGGGTTTGGCTTTGGCTGATACACGAGTTTTGGTTTGGAGGTGAACAGTGAGAACGGATGTTTCCATCCAACACCCGAGTGTTCAAAAATCTATGTGAAAGGACAACACAGTCTTTTCGAGGAAGAAACTATGTAAGCTTTATTTTAACAGTGGAAATGAAACGAAAACTTGACCTGCCTAATTGCTGACATCTATATAAATTACTAAAATATATATATATTTAATTTCTGCCTACTTTTGGACCATCTTTATTCCACAGGAAATTCGTGATTTCTGCAAAAGCAGCTGCATAGTACCACACAGAGCAGAAAGACCTAAATTTATATTTGGGGTTGGAAGATCCGGCTGCTGAGCCCGCATTCCACGTGCAGCTCCGAAACACCGTGGTTACGTGACGGCTGTTTGTACAGACCCAGCTCGACAGTGACACAAACAGACATCCCATCCGGGGCTGACAAGGCATCTGCTATAATACAAGAGTGGAAACGGGCGTTCCAACAGAACGGAAGGCCCCGCACACCTCCTAGCACCCTTTGGTTTTCTGATGGAGTTCTCAAGTTACACATCAGTGCACTGGATTGTAGGACAGACTTAGACTTTTATTTCATCACAAGTGCCCTTGGTATGTCACTATGACAGCTTATCATGGTCTTGGTTTCTCCTTCAGCAAGTAGAGGCCACCGAAGCAGGGTGTGTTAGTTACGCAAATTCCTATAAGGCACTTTACGGTTTTCATACTGGACAGTGAGGTACACAGGATATATTTCTAGGGTTCGTTGCTGTTAAAAAAAAGAAGGGGAAGAGGGGGGAGTAGCACCATGTTGTACGTTAGCGGAGGGCCAGGCTTCATTACGTTCTTCTCATACAGACTTGGCAGCGACTGACGTGTGTGCGCAGCTCCCCGGCCTTCAAGGTGGATGGCGTGGGCTTCCTACGGGACGACACAGAAACCAGCCTTCGGCGCTGTGGCTCGGCGAGGCGGGCCAGTTCCCAGGGCCTCCCCCCGACCCGGGGAGATCTCCGAGGGGTCGGATGGGAGGGGGCCCCAGCCCGGGACAAGCGGCGACCCTGGCTCACCCTGACCGAGCAGACATGGTGCTGGGTGTCACCCATCCTCACAGCGAGGGGGGGAGCGAGGCACGTGATCACGGGCACCGCCCCCCCATCCCTGGCCACGAGGCTGGCGGCAGGCCAAGTGCACGCCAGGGAGGGCACGGAAACAGCAACCCCACATGTGCTTGGCTCCAAAATCTGAGCCACACCCACTGGGCCACCCTGCCTCCTCGGCCTGTCATTTCCCCCCTCCATGCTCTCTCCTCAGCCAGATCATAAACTCCCCCAGGTGAAGAAGATTCTCTGCAACCCTTCACACAGAGTTAAGTGCTCATTAAATACTGGCTGAATGTGTAATGAACAATGCATCTGGGGTAATTAACTAGACCTTGAAATCCTCCTATAAGCTTTTGCTGGATTATATGCAGGTAGTCTGATCAGAGGCCAGAGGGGAGACATTTAGTGCCCCAAATGATAGAAATTCTACCTTAATTTGAGTGTTAGAGGGGTGAAGTCTGAACTGAAGTTGGCACTAACCAAATTCTATTAAAATTAAAGTAGCCATATAATAAAAGCAACATCCTAAAATTAGGCTGCTGATTTTAGCAACTTCTGTGAAAATCTTATTGCCCAAAATTAATTATTTGAAATAATGAGATCTTATCTAATTTTTGTTTTAGTTCATTGTGCCGGGCTGCTGGTTCAAAAAAAACAAAAACAAATCAAAAAACCAACCCATTATTACCTATTAACCCTATAATGGAAGCCCCAGGACCTGATACACCCCCCAAGTGCTCAATTAGGTAACTGGTGGTTAAGTTCTATCCCGAGAGTTGACATCAAGTTTCCAGTGCCTGAAAAGTCTCATGTAAGCTACCCACTGAGTACCTGGTACTTTTTTGGTGCTTAAAATATTACGAGTCGAGAGTGTTGCTTTGCCTTTTATGATCTAACTTAGGAAGAGACGGGCTCCCAGAAGAGTTCCGCCAAATTCTCCCTGAGAAGGCAAAGATGGAGAGGCACATCTCCGGGGGGAGCGAACGGTAACTGCTGGGGCTCAGGGGTCCCCGCGCCTGTCCCAGCAGGGGCTGCACGAAGGACAGAGGGCCGGTCGCACGCTCCTCTCCATCCCGACTGCGCCAGGCTCGGCGGCACCGTCACCCAGGCCAGCTACCCCCTGGGGCAGTCGCCTCAACAGTGGCCGGAATGGAAAAGAAGGGAAGGGTCTTCCCTATCGATTTCAGTGCATTTGGGCTGGAATTAATTTTTATTTTCATGGGTCTAACAAACAGTCTGGTCACGTCCCTCAGACCTCACGCAACGCACACACTAGAGTCGGCATCCAACTGCTACGAGGGCAAACGCTCTCTCTTCCCTCCCTGACCGTTAACATGTATTTTCAAATGCTGTTTGAGGAGCCAGCTGCTCTGACTACATTGCAGTGAATCCACCTACAAAGTGGAAAATGGCCTTTTTTCTCTCAGAATCCTTCAGCCAACAGAAGAACTGAACCTGTCACCTGAGATCTGCCCCTCAAGTGTGTCTCGGCTCTCTGTCCACACGGAACAGAGCCGAGTCCTCATTACTGCCTGCAGAAGACTCCTTCCCAGTCCGCGTCCGAGAAGCCTCTTTAAGACTGTGTGCCCGAGGGAGCGTGCACAGGGGCCCTCCCGACTTACTTGAACATCTCGCTTCTCTCGATGGTGGCAAGCCAAAAGCTGTAAGCGTTCGCGTAGTAGTTGCAGGTCCCACGGCCGTGGCACTCGATGAATGGCGCGCTCCTAAACTCTTCCAGACAAGACCCGGGGGACGCGAGGGCTTGGCCCGAACCTTCAGCACCAGCACTGGTGTGCTGCGGGGCAGATGCGAGCCGTGAGTCAGGGCCCTGCCCACCACCCACACGGGGCCTCGCGGTGCCCGGGGAGGAGCCAGGGGAGCCCCGCAGGGAAGCCGCGGGCAGGTCACGGGGAAACACACTCGTGCTCCACGCGCGGGGCACGGCAGCCAGACCCAGCACCAGAGCTCCACCACCGACCCTCCCCTACTGGGACATGGCCAGCCCGGGTGCATCAGAAGTTAAAGAAATGCTGTCCTCACTATTTATAATGTTTGAAACACCGAAACCACCTCTAACTTGGGACAGAAGAAAGAGCCAAAATGTGTAAATGATGTTGGAACCAACAGATGTGAAATCAACCTTTCTAATCAAAATTGGTGAGGATAATTAAAATCCTGTATTAGATGTTATGTGTCCTTTTATAAAGTAAAGAATAATCATCGGTTACTTTTCTTTCAAAAGAGAGAAAATTTAAACAAGAGAAAGAAAAGGGTAACCATTATTGTAACTGTTGAAATGCACTTGGGTCTAACGGGTTCAAGGAGGCTCGACCTGCGCTCAGAAACCAGGACCATAAGATGAATGACCCAAAATGAGACAAGACATTCCAAAATCGCCATGACTATTGTTTCGGACGTGGGAATTTCAGAGCCACAAGAGTCGTTTGAGGACAAAGTGAATGCCCTCCATTGCCCGATGAGGACCGGCGGATGCTAGCTAGAACATTCTGGATCTGACCATGGTCCCAGTTTCAAGGACAAAGACAGGGGTCTCCAGACTGTCAGGCCAGAGCCCCTCCACGTCCCCACAAAGCCCCCAATAACTGGGAAGTGATAGAGAACTCTTTCTCTCGGACCCCATTACTTTGGTTTGCTCTTGATTTGGGGAAATTATGGGCAAGCATTGTTTCAGATCTTTGCTATGGTGACAAAATGCTTTCCTGAGGTTCTTTACTCCTTGGGCCAGGGGCCCCTTCTGTTGTAATGAGGTTCTGTTTAGTATTTCTTAAGATTACGGAGTCAAAAAATTCAATCCACCTCCACCGGGGTCCTGATCTGTCTACACTGTAGTCCTAACCTGGCTTTCTTGATAAAGCAGCCACAACGCAGTATTTAGATGCATCAAAGCAGCTGCTACATCTTTGTGTGGCTGCCAATTCTTTGGCCCTGCTGAAGAGTCTACCTGAAGCCTCGTGCGCCGGCAGTCTCACAACTCAAGTGGAATGCAGACACAGGGCTCTGAAAACTGCTTTCCTGGCCGTTCTATTCCTTCTGCACCTGCCATAACTTATGGCAGAAGGAAACAGTTACACAGCCACTTTCCCGGTCAACAAAGAGCAGGCTAAAGGTCATCCGGGGTCAAAATGTCCATGTGGCCGCACCTGAGGCGGTGAGGACGGGCGGGCCCGTGGTGAGGCGGGAGGAGCCCTGCAAGCCGTTTCCTGGGGGTTATCCGCTAGGGCCTGGCCTTCCCAGCGCAGAGCTTTCACATACGCAATCGCTACTTTAAGCCGTGGCACGAAAGTCACATAAGCAGCTACCAGGGGGATCTCAAACTGGTGTCATGTTTCCTATTGTAACTGGCGTTTCAGGGGTGGGAACACCGGGGACCTGTGTCCGGGACAGCCGAGGGATGGAGAGCAGCATCTCCTCGCAGGAAGGGCGTGAGCCCCCCCGCCCCCCCGCACCCCGAGGCTTCTGCTTCAGGCTCAGGCGAGCTGCTTGACTGTGCACCCGTCTCCTCTCCTCCTGGGGAGATGCTCTGACTCGGGGAAAGCTCTTCGTGCTGTTGCCGCCACCTCGTCCCAGAGCAGCGACCCAAGAGGCAGTTGGCGGGCTCTGGCCAGGCGCTGGAATGGCCGCCGTCTACAGTGGAGCAGGCCAGGCCCCTGGGGAGGATTTGGTCGGGAGGAGAGGCCGGCACCGCGTGAGCCTGAGAACGGAGGGTTGGGGCGCGGGGGGAGGAGGCGGGGGCGCGAGCAGGCGACTCTGCCAGGGGCGCGGGGAGTTCCCCAGACGCTCACCATCACGAAGGAATAGCCAATCCAGAGGGAGGACCAGCCGCTGGGGCACTGCGGGATCTGAATGGTCTGGCTGTGCACGGCCATCACCATGGCGGGCGCCTCACACACTGCGCACCTGGAAGGCACAGAGCACAGACCCTGAGCACGGCCGCGGGGACAGCGCAGGACGAAGCCTGTGCCTGTCCGTTCTTCGTCCCGTGCTCTCCTCCACCCTCTGCACTCACACGTTCTGAGCCAGCGTCATGCTCACGACACACTGCCGCGTGGAGCCCTCTCACTGATTTTATAAGCCCCCCCCCCCCCGGGCTAGAAAATCCACATCCAACACTTGTTGAACCATCTGCTTTGTGGGAAGGGGGAAATCGCAAGGCCAGGCTGTAACTGTGGCCATCTCCCGGAGGGGCTGGGAGACCGTGGACAGGTGTTCTCTCCTTTGTGCATTCAGTGGTTTCCGACTTTTCAACAGGGAGTGTGGATTTCAGCAAACACAATTAACACTTGAGCCATGGGAGTCGGTGAAACCCAAGTGCTACCACTTCCGGAATTCAGCGATTTGTTTTCAGCTGAGAATCATCTTCAACAGAAGGAATACGTGGTGACAGAGTAGCCAGCAAACACTGCATCTGGGGCTGGATGTCCCCGTGAGCCCGCTTCGGACCGACTGGCAGGCAGCAGAGCCATGGCAAGACCCTGCCCCGGGAGGGGGAAGGGGAGGCGCTGGTGGACACTGCCGCGGGAGGGCCTCCCACAGAACTCGCTCCAGGACAGGTGCCCCCCCGAGCCAGCTGGCCGACCCCAGCAACAAACTACAGCAACACACGCTCTTCTGACTCAGATCTGCCCGGTTCAGGGAACCCTTCGATGGCAGGGTAATGTTTTGTAAAAGAAAAAAAAAATTAAACACCAGCATTCACATAATTACATTCAAGTCACAAAATGAACAGAGTGTTAGCAATGCTGATAAATGACTATAAATGGTGTTAATAATTACACCTAGTTATGCTGGAACATTTGCATGAAAATGGATGGGGAGCAGTTAGAGGCCTAAATTAGTCATTCGACTTTCCGTGCATGCGCGTGTGTGCGCGCACATGTGAGCGCGCAATTTTCTATTTTATTCACACCAGGGCAGATGAATTAAAAGGCTCAGTTAAACAACAGTTACTGAAATTGGCCTTATACATCTGCCACCATCTGTCTACCAGACACAGAAGCCAGATAAAGAGCGTGGCGGCCGGTGCTCGATGTCAGGCTCTCTCTGGGCTGGGGGCTCATCGAGACGGGTGTTCCTGATGCCTCCCCGTCATGGACACAGATGGGAAGAGCCGGATGGCCCCCTGAAATTCAGACGGTCAACCCCCTGTGTTATTCCTGAAAAGCCTGAGGCCCCAGAGAGCCGAGAGAGCGCCAGAGCTCGAGCACGGCTCCCCCGCTCGACTACCGTGGTCTTGCCCCCAGGACAATGAAACAATCAGCAGCTCGTGAGGACTCATGTCTGCAGAAAGCCAGAAACGTCTGCCCTGTTCTCAGGGTGAAGGGAGAGAAGTTGCCAGCTTTTCTGCGTCACAGGAAGATTTTGTGTTATCAACTCTAAAAGTGAAGCTTTTGGAGCTCCCCCAAGTAACCCGGAAGTCCTGAGACCTCGTGCAACTGCAACAACGGAGTGACAGTAACCATGGAAACCTGCGAACTCAGAGACCGGAAGTGGGCAGCACTGTTCCAAAGGGAGGGAGCGACGGACAGTGTGGCTTCGGGAGCAGCAGGCTCGGGGGCATGACTGGTAAGGTCCCTGCACGCTGAGTTGCTGGGGGTCAGGCAAGAGAAACATGTAAAAAGCCGAAATGCACACCGCTGATGTTGACACAGCCCATGCTTCCGGGCTGGGGGTCTTCCTGAAAGTAAGGGGTCCACGGGGAATAGCAAATCTCAGACACAGGCTTCTCATGGACCTGATTTTGGAATATTGCAAACACATGCCACAACCCCTTCCTCAACCAAATCAAGGTCAAAGGGTAGTTTTATCAAGGTGGTAAATAACAAACAAACATGAATAATCATTTTCTACCTGTTATCCAAGGGAAGCTGAACAAAAACACAAAGGTGGTTAGTTTTCCTTCGGGTGCAGCCGGCATGGTTCTGCGCCAGGACAGTCTCCGCAGAGAAAGTCTCAGACGCTCACTGACACACGTAAATAACGGTTTGGAAAGGAGCCACTCGAAAGTGTAATGAACCACTTTTCCCATTTTAAGACCCATAAAGTGAGTTTTCTTACAGCTCCAAAGAAACATCAAAGAAAGTTATCAGGGGATAGTTTAATGTAAATCCATCGAAAACCTATGGTTTTCCTGTTTATCAGGCCATCTCCCAGCTCTTTGGCTCTGGCTCCCCCTCTGTGGTACCTGTCCCCTCAGTAAGAACGGGATCTGCCGGGACCTGCAGCCCTGCATGTGCACGTGGAACCAGAAGGGCTAGAGCCCCACACTGGCCTCAGGGCTCCCAGGACCGGCTCCAGCACGCACTTCCTGCTCCCTCTGCCCTCTGACCACAGGACCCTGCCATCTCCTTCTTCCTCGTCAAAAGCTGCTTGGTTCTTTAGAGGGAATGCAGAAAAGGCAGTGAGTCCTCACTCTCACTTCCCTGGGGCAAACCCGTCTGCCTTGTTATTCTATTCATCCCTTATTATCTTACTGTGTTAGAAAGTACAACTATAAAATAGCTTCTTAGATGAATTCATATCATTGCCACTTTTCTACTACTTCTGAGTAGAGCGAAGGAATCAGCTTTTAATTGGAAAGAATGAAGCAAAAATAGGACAATCGTGTATTTCTCAGTCATAATAATTTCAATTTCCCCTCTTACTTCCTACCAGGCAGACCTGAAAACATACTCCAGACATTAATTAGCATGGAAAGCACTTAATTTGGGAAGCTGCTCAGTCAAACACATGAATTGTCAGTGGGACTTCATCCTAAGGGAGCAGAAGTTAGTGGGGGTGGGAGAGTATGAAAAAAATCTTAGTATGTATACATTTTTATGTATACAGTAAATCTGTATCATCTTTTCGTGTATAAAGCACAGATAGTATGTCTGAGGTGTTACAATTTCAGAGAGACCACCTCACGCCCATATGTGAGTTCCTGAATTAAATACTACTGTGCACTTACAAATGATTAAGGTGATTCATTTTATGTGATGTCTATTTTACTACAATTAAAAATAACAAAAAAAATTTTTTAATTTCATGGGGGTGGGGCAATCAGAAGAAAAAAAACCTGAAAAGGCTCCTCAAGGAGAGAATTATTTGATAAAACAAAACTGAGAATGCTGTTCCTGTGGCTGCCAAGGAACCCAGGGGCACGGCTTCACGGGACGGAGGGCAGCCACCCCTATGACTCACACAGAACAGGAATTCTGCCCCAAAGCCGGGCATCACTTCTCCAAGGCACTGCCCTGGCATTTTGAAGAGGAGAGCTAACTTTTATATCGAACGATTTTACGGCTGACTTGTGTTACAAAAGTCTGACATTACAATCAATAAACTGAATGGCAATGGGTCGAATGTTTTGGGGGGGAAAGTGAAAAAAACAGTAACAACCTCTCCTAGACTACGAGAGATCTTTCTTCTTCAATTCTACATCTGCTCCGACAAATGCCCAACTCACCTGCTAATAAACGGTCTGATATTGTCCCCGGCGATGGGCGCCATGGACATGGGCATGGGCTCAGGCGTGGACAACCAGTAGGAGTAGTCATTTCGGGAGGCGAAGTTACACACATTGTTGATGTTGCAGAAAAGGAAGGGCATCGTACTGAACTTGCGCAGGCAGCTTCCAGCCGTGCCTAGAGCCACGGGGAGAGACAGCATCAAGGGCTGGCTTTATAATCAGTCTGCTTCCAAGCAAAGTAACCATCAAAATGGAAATGAGAATGTTTTACCTTATAAACAGGAAGAAGGAAGTAAATACACGCACAGACTAGTGTGATTGTAAATGAGCACTAAATTACATTTAAAGTGATCAAGGTAAAAGGAAAACTATAAAGAATTACATAGGATATTCTGATTAAAGGAGAGAAATCTTTTATAAAACTGAATTCCAAGAGAAATTTAACAGGTGGCTCCTCGTACGATGGACAGTAACCACCTGGACAACGTCTTTAACAACCGTTTTGCCGAAAATGCAGAGATTCTAGGGCTGCTTGTTGTTTCCGAGCTCCATACCAGTTAGAGGTGTGTGCCATTAAGTGGGTCATTGTTTAGAAAGAGCACCAGTAAAACGGCCCTATTTTAAGAATCTCAAAGCTAACTGCGAAGTATATACTCCAGAAATCTTGACCTACTTAATAATTTGAAGAAGAGATTGAAAGTTGTATGAATTGAAAAGGTTTTACATTTTCTGGGCTTCTCTTAGTAATGGGGTAGCTGCTGAACTTGGTGGTTTGCTTTATAAGGCGGGAGGGAAACGGAATCAGGCGCCCTTTGCACTGACCGTGTCTTTGTGGCGCCCTGAACACAGGACCGGAGCTGAGTACAGCTCTGCCGGCTGCCACAGCTCGGTATCACACGAACACCCGCGTCCCCAGCGTCTCACCCAAGTCCTGGCCGTGGGCCCTTTCGTTGCCTTGCACATAGAGCAAGGAGTACCCGTGGTAAAGAATTTTGGTCCCAGGAGGACACTGTGGGTCATCCGTTGTCTGACTGTGCCTGGTCACAAGGAAGCCGTGATCAACAGACGGGGTGCCTGGGGGACCCATGGATCCTGGCAACCCATCAGGGCCTGGCGGGCCCGGAAACCCTCGCGGACCTGGAAGACAGAAGAGAAATGAGCTTCCCTGGCTGCAGACAGGCTCCCCTGAAAGACTCTGAAGACGACTAAGTACAGCAACACGCCTCTGTGCTGCCCCAGCTTCTCCTTTCTACAGACCACCCGAGCTGTTTTATAAACACAGTGCTGGGTGCAGAGCTGATGCTCAGAAAATTGAGCCCAATGGGTAAACGAAATATGTGAAAAGGAATATATGAGTAGGTAGAATAAATGACATGATTCCACGTGTGTCACTCAGACAACATTTGGGGCTCCTCTAAGGGAGAAGGATCACAGAATTATTAGAATAAAACCTCCTTTTAAGGTGGCTTCCCTTCCACAGCAGCCCACCCAGCACAGCGCATGGAAATGGGGTGGTAAGGGCTGGGTGCTGGTGGTGAGTCCTATCGTCCCCCGGGTCACTGTGCTCGCTGCCCACGAAGCTGCTCACGGACCTTCTGCTGGGCTGGGCCCCTGGCCCCTCCAGTCGATCCCTCAGGCTTCAGCATCTCAGTCACTATGGGGCAGCTGAGTTTCGGCTTCCTCCGGGAGCAGACCCACTGCATCCCGAGCCAGACAGCGGCCTTGTGGCCAACACTGGCATTATGATCTACTCCCTCTTGTCTGTTGCCGACATGGAATTTCTGTAGCTACAGCCCGCTCCCCCCCGTCAGGAGGCCACAGGCCGTCCCTGCTGGCCATCTTTCAACAACACCTGGAAACAGTATGCTGCTTCAACATCTGTCTCTCCACACAGAAAAAATGACAGCCCTTTAGCTCCTCTGTAAGACCCTATTTCCTCTAAACAAATTAAAAAAAAAAAACCCAAAAACAGAAACCAGACTTCTTCGGAAATCTGCCAAGTAACGTTTTCAATTCCACTGTGCACGTTTCCGCACACTTCGAACCGAAGGATGCAGGTGGAGGGCGACTGGGTCAGGAGGAAACCTACCAGGAGGGCCGAAGGGTCCTGTCTCTCCTTTCTGGCCAGGGGCGCCGTCAAAACCAGGAACACCGGGCGGTCCAGGTAAGCCCACGGATCCTGTCACACCTGCAGGAAAGGGCAAGGAATTCACGACCTGGTCCTGGAGCACCACAGGCTGTGGCTTTTTCTTCCCTTTTGGAGTGTGTTTTTAGCCTCCTGACCGGGCAGCCTAAGACCCTCAGCTGCAGTGAGAAAGTTCTGCCGGAAGTCAGGAGCCCTTCCCACGATGCCTTGTTCACAACCCCCGGGGTGGTAGCCAAACCGGCATTTGCAGGCCGCACGCTCCACCATCTGATCCAGAGCGCCCCTGGCTGCTCGCTCCTATTGTCTGGAGCATGGTGTGGGGAAAGGCAGTTTCTGGGGGGAGAGGGAGGGCTGTGACACATTTTCGTGTTCTCAAGTATCTCCCCCAGGCCATATTCCCAAGCCTCAAGTAATTCTTATGCAACAGGTATACCCACGTGGATAGGCTTTTGTTTTCATGTGCACCCTTTACTCGCAGAGAGTTTAAACTTAAATTTTCGTGGATGCCTCCTCTCAACTGTAGAGTTTTCCTTCTCCTTTACTGTCCACCCACCCTCACTGGTAGCTCTTGCAATAGGGAGTGTTCATAAAGTTCTGGGTCAGGTGTCTGGGAACCCCAGGCACGAAATGCCGGCTGGCTGGGGCCTCTGGGCCACTGTCAGGGCCCATTCTCGAGGTTCTAGACCGACGCCTCCCGCCATCCCTTATCTTCTCGCTGGGAAAGGCGATCTCTGTGTCTGCAGCCCATGGGTTCCCCAGTGAGCACAGATGTGTTGAACTGTATATTCCTCCAGCTTCTCCTGTATTTTGTCCTGGCTTTTTCAGTCCCCTCAAAAACTTCACTAGGTTTTGATTCCATTGAAGGAAAGTAAGAAAGTCATATTCAAATACGTGTCTATACACTCACCACCCAGAGGCCCCGGTTTGAGACACACGCGTGAGGAGGAAAGCCCACCGGTTCCCCCCGACCCCCACACCTCCCCTTCGTAGCTCGGCTACTCTTACCTTGCTGTCCTTTGGGGCCTGGAGGCCCCGGGAGCCCCTTCAGACCTGCGGGACCCTCAGGACCAGGAAGCCCTGGCTCCCCTTTGATGACATCGTAGGGTCCCGGGGGACCCGGGGGGCCGGGAAGGCCTGCGGAAATCAGAGGTGCCAATGATCAATTCCATTGTCAATGCTCACGGGAGAAGAGCCCAATGTGAAACCCAATCCAAACACAACATTTCTCAGAATCCGGTCAGTATCAAAAATACAAGTCACGTGCATACTTCTACTATTTAACGTAAAATCCTGAATCCTCAGGCTGGGGGTCATTAGTATAAACTGGCCGCTCGGTTCTGGAATCCCCGACAACCACCATGCGGCCCTCACCTATACAGGCCCAGCAGGCGAAGCTCCGTCCCTCCCAGGGAGCCCACCCGCACCCAGAGGGCTGCAATGTATGCAATCAGAAGGGCTCTTCCTATAGTCTCTGAAATCGGCTGTAGGTACATTCCAAGCATGGGCCTTCATTTTCCAATGACGCATAAAGTTAACCCTTCTGCAGGACAGCCCTTGAAAGATGAGGAGCAGCTCCAGAGTCCGCAGAGGCTCTGAGTCGGCCCCAGCCCCCAGGCCTCTCCTGCCCTCCACACATCTTCCCCATTTCTTTTGTTCCTGACATTGCACTGCTCAGTCTCTCTCCTGAAGCATGATTTTGAAAATTAAACACGGCCCTGGAGATATGGTCGGCCCCGCAGAAGCTAGAACGGGATGCTGGTTTTCTCCCCGAAAATGCCTTGGGGTGTGGGAGCCACCGCACACTGCGATGGTGGAGAAGCCAAGGAAGAGTCTTCCCTGTGCAGAGCTCCTTGCCGCCCGGCCCCCATGCAGCCTGTCCATGCAAGACCGAGCTCCTCCCTAGGACAGCTAAGTGGCTGGGCTGCTTGCCTCCGGAGCCTGCGGGCTGTGAATCTTGAGTCTGTCCTACTCTCTCCTCCGGATTTACCTCCTAGATTTAAGGAGCCTGACTTTCAAGACATGTCGTAAAAATGCCCTGACAAGCTACCAAAGAATTTTTAATCAACTGTTTCCTAATGATACTCAAGCCTCTCACGTCTGTAAAACCAAACTCCCTAATTCCGTGCATTCAAAGCACCAGCAAGGCCCAGCGAGCACAGCAAACGCTCCTACCTTTACTTCCGGGGAAGCCCTGGTCACCTTGATCCCCCTTCGCTCCCTGCAGGCCAGGGAGGCCTTTCTGACCTGGAGGAAAGAAGAACATCGTCTGCACAGAATTCCCAACTACATGCAAGTACGGTCGTATACACGCACACAGGCACACACACATACCTACACGTGTGCACACACGTGTGCCCATTTCATGTGTGTCCGCATACACACATACCTACGTACAGGAATACCCATGTATACATGCATACACACATACAGTGAACACATTTCCAGTTTGTTCTCAGGGAAAAAAAGAACATTACTTCTGGTCAGCTATATAAAACTTTTCATGAAACTCTTCTTTCTAGAACCTAGAAATCACATTTTTCCAAACCTACAACAAACTATAAAATGATCACAAATAGTGGAGGGGCACATGATCCTGTTTTTGGCCACAATCTGGTGCACACATGTCCCCAAACAGACCCCAAGATGCCTGCAGGCTGAGAACTTGTTTTATTCACCTGGCATTCATATGTATCAGATTCAGCAGTAAAACTCACAGCGCCTGGGAGCTGAGAGGCACCCAATAAATGTTCGCTTAATACGTTAATAAATTAATGAATGCCCCAAATCCATGATTTCTTACTGATAATACAAATGATCGAGATGCAAATGATCCACTGATTCTTAATAAGAACATGCAGAGTGTCTTTCTACAGCCATTCATAGGGTGATAGAAATCAGGGTGCCATAGCACGAAATAGCATGTTTAACTGGGAGAACAGTGTCTTGCACCGTAATCAGGCCGAAAGGGCCAGTGGTCAGGTTCTGCCTCCAAGCAGCACCTTCTTTATGGTCTTACCTTGAAATCCTGGCACTCCTGGAGGCCCCATGTCACCCTTAGAACCTGTGATCCCTGGCGAGCCACCAATCCCCTAGACACACAAGGAGAATGTCAGCCGGGAAATGCTCAGGAGGTGGTAAGTCTCTCAAGTAACCTGCTAGTCAGGGGGCTGGGGCAGGACCTCAGCGTTCTGCAAAGGAGCTCTGTGAACAAACAGTGCCCTGTGCTTTCTTGAGTGACATAAAAAGAAAGACAAAATCTCTATGCGCGTCTACACTAGGGAGCTGGAAGTTGGGACAACTTGCTTCCTTCACGGTGCCTCCTCCCCTTGTCCATCTACACAGTCAGTTCCCAGAGCAGGTGCACGCCATGCGTCCTGCCGTCCCCAGGCCACAGCACGGTGCCGTGGACACAACTGGGCCTTCCTGAGCACATGTCACCGTGACATATCAACCTTTCAGCACCGAACTACCGTATGGAAACTTTCCCCCAAACACTCAGGCATAATGCATTTTCTTTAGAATTAGCTTGATATGTTATCTGAAAAGGGATTTTAAATATGGAGAGAAGGAAACACATAACCAAAGGAAGACTGTTTTTCTTTACAAATATGGCATCACTCATGTATTTTAAACATATTATCTCATTTTCTGGCTATTTCAAAATATTTCCTCCTCACACTCCTCAGTGTAAATAAGTCATACGGTTTCTCACATATTATTTGTTTCTTTGCTTATTTAAAAAAGCGCCACAATGAAAACATGCACAAACACAGATGTGCGTACACACACGTCGACAGGTACGTGGACACGGCCAGCCACTCATGGCACCAGAAATAGGGAGTGCGCTTCTCTTACTGAAGCCTGCTGTCTGCATCAAGGGTGTACCCAGATTTCCAGCACAGGCACTGAGCTGCAATCCCCAGCAATGGGGATTACAATCCCCCAGGGCGGGTCTTGTAAAACTAGATGCAAAGAATGTTGCACTCGTAAGCTACTGTGGTGTCAGGCAAGATGGCGGATGACCAGCAACAAGCAGCAGCCCCTCCAGAGAGGATTCAAGAGTGGAACAGCCCTGTACACACACGCACGGCCCTGTGACCCTGTTCACACACAAGACGGGACACACGGACAACTCACAGGCAGGCCTTGGAATCCTGGCTCTCCCTTGGGCCCTGGAGCTCCGGGAGTCCCCGGCCAGCCCGGGTTTCCTTTGTCACCTTTGAGTCCATCAAGCCCAGGGAGCCCCGGAGGCCCCACAGGTCCTGGAAGCCCTAATGGGAGACACGAAAGTCGCACGTTTGGGGATAGAGGGTGATTTAATGGACAGGTGGGCTTGGCATCTCCACCCAACTGCCCCCCGCCCCGGACAACAACACTGTAGGGCGCTGTGGGAGCCTGCGGAAATCCCACCGGTCCTAGAAGGGAGAATCTGCTCGATGGCACCCCAACCGCAGCAAACAACCCCGCCACACCGTCGTCCCAGGGCGGGGGCGGGGCGTGCCAGGATGCCACCGGGTGAAAAGCCAGCACGGGTCACATCTGTGCCCCAGTCTCCCCCAGGAACGTCTAGTCTACCTCTAATCACTTATCACATCTACTGAACTCCTTGACAGAGAGGACCTGGAGCAGGGGGGGAGTGACCCAGCAGAGGCCAAACAACAAGGGTCCCCAAATATCTGAAGCAGTTTCGAGCTGCAATCAACGCTGCAAACTTCTAAGTGAAAAACTCCACTGAGGACTGAAGTACTTCCATCACTTTCACACTCGTGCGTGTTTGTGCCTTCTGTGGTCGGTCCCGGCTCTGACCCTGCTGAGACACCCTTACCTGGCAGGCCAGGTTGACCCTGTGGGCCCCGGTCTCCTTTGGGCCCCTCCACAGCGTGGCCCGGAGCTCCAGGTAAGCCCGGCTGTCCTTGTGGCCCCGGGGGACCCATGAATCCTTGCTCTCCTTTGGATCCGGGGATGCCTGGACTCCCGGCTTGTCCTGGGAAACCCACGTCGCCCTTTGAACCTAAACAACAACAACAGTTTGAGATGGTGGTGAAAGGCAGGGGCGAAAAGAAACCACGGTACAGGGACAAGGAGGGAGCGGCTTCCGGAAGGCATAGGGGGGACGACAGAGCTATGTGCCCTCTCCCTGCTTTACTAAGTAACACACCAGACTCCAGCCATGGTCGACCTGGAAAAGAGTAAGCTTAGAATACAAGAGCCCAGCTGTCATTCTTGATGCTTTTAACGTTTTTTAAAAGATTTTATTTATTTACTGAAGCCCACACAAGTGAGCAAGGGGCTCAAAGGCAGGGAGCCCGATGCGGGACTAGATCCCAAGACCCCGGGATCATGACCTAAGCCGAAGGCAGATGCTTAACTGACCGAGCCTCTCAGGCACCTCTCTTTACACTTTTTAAAGGAAGTGTTTCGCCGCAAAGCCACTGGAATGCAAGCTCAGAGCGTGTGCAAGCAAGCGTGCTGCTAGATGAAGGGCTTGTTTCAGCCACACCACGGAACACTACTCAGCAAGAAACAGGAGGGAACGACTGGTACAAGCCGCCACACCAGTGACTCTCAAACTAATTATGCTGTGCAAACAAAGTCTCACTAAAAAGAGTAAAATACAGAGGATTCTGTCGATATAAAACTCTAGAAAATGCAAGCTAATCCACAGTGCCAGAAGACAGACCAGTGGGCGGTGATGGGATGGCACTGGGGGCAGGAAGGGCAAGCTGGGGATGACAAAGCAGCCTAGGAGACTTGGGGTGATGGATGTGTTCACTGTCTTGAATGTGGGGGTACTTCTGCACGTGTGTACATGTACCAAGACTTACCAGATGGCACCCTCTACATCTGTGTAGTTTATTGTATGTCAATGAGAGAAACACGGTAATAAACTGTTTGTAAAGTTTTTTAAGGTAAGAACTTATAGGGGAAAAAAATCCCTGCATGTGTAGTCTCCACCATATTACTCCAAACTTGCTAATTAAATACCAAAATTCTAGGATGATTTCAAGGTTCTTAAGAAAAAGTAAGAAAGGAATGAAACAGAGTCATCACCAAAACTGACAGCAGGCCCCTCCTTGTGATTCTTGTCTTGCTTTTTCAGAAGACAATGACAGTGCACCAGATGGTGGTTTGTCAGGGGCCAGGAGCAGGCACAGACGAGACCAACCCAGAGCCGGCATCTGTCACCCCTGCCCATGGCCTCCTCGCAACCGTGAGACCCGCTCTGTTTCGCAAATGTTACCTTTCTCTCCTTTGGCTCCTGGAAACCCTGGGAATCCTCTCCCGGGCAGACCTGTAAGTTAAGGGTAAGAAGTCACATCCACATTTCCTAAAATAGTTGATCTGCAGGTCCAGCAGTAAACACCGTCAACTCTGTGTGCCAATACCATATGCTCTTTATAGGATATGTGGAAATCAGTTCATCACACACGTGAGAGAAAAATCCCATTCCCATGGTTGTGCTGAGAGGCCCTGGACTGGGTATGGATCATTTAGCACTTGTCTTAAGTACCTGTCAGCACAGAACTGTTACGGCATTTAGTAGAAATGGTCTGTACAAAAATAAGTACGTATTTTCTTCTCCCGTCTAGGGACTAACAAACTGGCTTTTCTCAGACGACCATCCAACTAACAGCCATTCTAGGGGGAGGCAGAGAGAGTCAGAGACGTTCCGGACAGGAAACACTGGGAAGCCCACACACGTGAGCAAGGGGCTCGAAGGAAGATGGAAGTGGGGGAAAGCAGGTGTGGAGGCATTTCATGAATTATTGTTATAAGAAAATGAACGCACGCAATATAAACGTAAGGTGTACAAAATGAAACAATGAACTTTAGCAAGAGGTCAGCCCTGACCACAGGAAACCCCCTGGATGCCCCTCTCCAGCAACATTCCCCATGTGGGTCCCCGACTCGGGGTCACCCTCTTGCTACACATGAGTACTACCGTGTACGTGATTCCCACTGTCGGAGCCGGCAGCCCATGAGTGACAGGAGCAGATGCGGGGGACCGGCAATGTCCCCAGGACCACCTCTCTAAAGGGGGAAATGCCAGGCTCGGGAGGGAGAGCCTGGGCTGTTTCTGGGTGTCTCTCTCACACGCCACTGGGAGCTCAGGGCAGGAGCCCGTGACTGCTGCTAGAAGAAATGCACGCCCCCTGCCCCTCTTCTTATCCAGGCCTCTCCCCTTGTCCACACCAGTGTTCAAACATGGGGTTCAAACGCATGGGGTAGGTGCCACTTTGTGCCCAGCCCCAGTCACTTAGCATGGTCAGGAAGTCTGAGACCTGTTGACCGCAGGGAGCAGCTCATCCTGAAAGGGAGCAGAAGCTGAGCATACCTGCTTCACCCTTCTCTCCCGCCGACCCCGGGATTCCGTCACTGCCGGGCTCCCCTTTCTGGCCAGCTGGGCCCGTGGGGCCAGGACTCCCAGGAAGACCTCAGAGAGAAGAGTCACATCAGTCAGGCACGGACACTCTGACGGCACCTGCTCTGCATGCAAGACCCTCAGGTGACCTTCCTCCAGGGAGCCGTCACCCCCAGCACACCTGGCGTCCCCGAGACACGTACATCAAACTCCCACACTGACACACAAACCGATTCTAGAACCTCTAGAACCAACTGGACCTAGCTGTACCGCCAGCTCTGCGACCTTGGTTCTAGCTCCTAACTGGTGGCCAGACCTCAGAAAGACCCCGTGAGTCCCCTACATTCAGTTTGTTCATCTGAAACGAGGAGGGCTGGGTCACCCGGGGACATTCTGGGGTTCACGATGCGCCACCTTGAGGGAGGGAAACTCCCAGCCTCGATGGCCCGTCTGCATTCGAAAAAGTGGTCTCTACCTGCTTCTCCTTTGATGCCAGGAATGCCATCCGATCCCGGGAGACCTTTGTCACCTTTTTCTCCAGGCAATCCGGGGCTTCCTAATGGGAAACAAAAGACACCAGAATGCCATCAGTTTGAGTCTTCCCGTCATCTTCAAACCCAAGCTCGGGAGGGGGCCCGGCTCACCTACCTGGATAGCCGACACTCCCTGGCGAGCCTTTGGGGCCTGGGGAGCCAGGGACCCCTGGGATACCAGCACTGCCTTTTTCTCCTTTCTCTCCAGGACTCCCCGGAAAGCCTGCGACCCCTTGATCTCCCTGTGAGTAGACAATGGGCCCATGCATTTTACATCTGTCCCCAGACAAAAGTCTGGGGGCCCCTTCTGGATAACAGTACGCATTTTGGTACCATTATGTTGCACTGGAGAATCCCATTTCCAGCTTTCTAACAAAGAGTCAAAGTCCACATCCGAAAAACGAGGACAAACGGGAAACCCAGAACAAAAGAGCCAGTTATCTGTTTCTACTCTTGATGGTCTTCCTCACCCTTCCTTTCCAGCTCGTGAGAGCTTGCTACCCTGCCTCTCCAACAGCCTCTAGACCCTTCCCAAGGAAGGGGTGGTGGACAGAAGGCAGGAGGGACAACTCAGAGTAAGTCGGGGGACACTGTTCTGTGTTACGAGTAAGTTAATGTGCTGAGCTGCTCAGATGGGGGGCAGGGGAGGTTTCCAAGCAGGGGGCTGTTACCTTGTCCCCAGGACGGCCCGGAATTCCAATGCCAGGTAGGCCCACCTGCCCTTTCTCTCCTTTGGCTCCTTTCTCCCCGGGTAAGCCAGGGACGCCCTGCGGGCCGGGGATTCCAGGCACACCTTTTTCTCCCGGTGTTCCTATAAACGCAAACAACTGAAACTTGAACGTGTGCTTAGCAGGTGCTAATATTCAAAATAAAAAAGCACTTTGACGGCCTGCAAGAAGAAGGTAAAAGAACATGTTTCCCTTCATTCATCAATCTTTTAGTTATGCAGGCAGATGCCAGTTGCCCACAGCACGTTACTGCCACGCTAAGAAGCGTCTGTCCTGTCTTCTAGAGACCACCATTTCACAGAGAGAGAGAAGAAATACACGAACTCCTCAGCATATTTGCTTTGGCAGCAGTGTAACAAAGGGCTTTTATGTTCCTTATTCTACAATCAATGCACATTACCCCGAAGAATCAGAGGGTCGTGAGGCGGGCCATCATAAGAGTAAATGCATACCTAGTTTCATAACGTATGCTGGTACCCAGACCTACTTACAAACAGGTGTAAACAGCAAGCTAGATGTCTCTATGTCAAATGGGGGTGATCAGGCGCCTCGTGAAGGCATGGGGGGGGCTAGAGGGGCCGGCCTCCTGCCTCGGCTCTCCCTTCCCCGCGGATTCCGAGAGGCACTAGCCGCGGACCCACCTGAGGCCCGCGCTCTCCACCTCTCACCCGCCTCCTCACGGGAGCGAATGCACCAGGCGGGGTTGGGGCCAGTTCAGGGTTGGGGTAGAGGAACCAGAGGGCGCTAGCGGCTGGCCCGGACTGCACGGGGGACATGGTGGCCAGGTGGACAGTCACCTGGAGGTAATCGAAAGGTGACGGCAGACAGCCCATGTTTTATTTTATTGAATTGTGATTTTCTTTTTTTTAGCAGTGGTCGCTGTGTCAGCCAAGTGCCACTGATCCTGAGGCATGAGACCATACAGAACTGAAGACGTGCATTGGGGTCAAAGACTGGATTACACCCTCGGGTCAATGCACATCCTCCTACAGTCCTGTCCCACCAGCCCTGGCGCGTTCTTTTCTTTAGAAAGAAGACACCTTATCTGAATCCAATGTACCTGGCAGGCCCATGCCACCAACCGATCCTTTGGGTCCAGGGAGTCCCGGAGCACCTGGGGTTCCACCTATGCCTGGGTCACCTTTAGGTCCTAGGGTAACAGAGAAAAACCCGGCAGGTTAATGCCAATGAATAGTGCTGGGTGACATTCCCTGAGCACCCTTAGCACGAGCTCCCGCCGTGCGGTGGACTTGAACTTCACTGCATACCTGGCTGCCCAGGATGCCCCGCCTGCCCGTCCTTTCCAGGTACTCCCGGGGTTCCAGGGTCTCCCCGGGATCCTTTATCACCAGTTGGTCCAGTCTGTCCTGCACGTCACAGAAAAAAGAGTGATGATGACCCACGTCTGCTTAAAAGGCAAACTGCTGCAGAAACACAGGTTGGGTTGATATTACTGGTGCAGAGCTACAGACCTGGTCAGACATGCAGCTCTACCCCCCACCGGACCCCTCATCCAGTCACCTTTCTCTCCTTGGTCTCCCTTCTGACCCTTCATGCTGCCCATGTCCACCTTATCCATGGAGCCAGGCTTGCCGGGGAGACCCACATCTCCTTTGTCCCCCTTGAAGCCAGGGTCTCCCCTGGGCCCCGAGGAGCCCGGGAAGCCATGGTCCCCTGCAGAGGAAAGACAAGCACCGGTGAAGTGTGGCCAAGGCCTCAGAGGCAGCGACACTGTGTGGCACTCCTTCTGCTGAAGGAGGGAGGAAGAACTCGCGGCCTATCCACACGCAGCACAAAGGAGCAGGGCGTGGCGAGTGTCTGAGCTACCAGAAGAATCTGGCCCCAGGAAATAAGCAATAAAGCCATTTTTTACAATTTAGTATTTGCTAACGACTCTACTGTATTTGTGACTCTGCTTATTACCGGTTTAAATACTTTACACCTTCCCTCTTTCCTAAGGACCTTCATCATGTCTGTTCACGGTGCCCCTCAATTCGATACAAAACAATAAAACGGGAATTCTCTTGTTCTACTAAACAAATGACCATTTCTATGTCTCACAAAGTCAATTTGTTAAAAAAAAAAAAAAAAAACATATTTTGGACCAATTTCAAACAACAAGGTAAGAAATAAAAATGAAGACCTATAAATTTGCCCAGTTTGCTAATTTGATTCTAAGGTCTCAGTTCCTGTGACCTTGCAGGACTGCAGATCCCACAAATCCTATAAAAACAAACCAACTCCAACATCCCAATAAGGAACAGCTGAAAACCTGTCTCTTGTTTGGTCTTGGGCAGAGCACAGCCCCTGCTCCCACATGCACCGCCCACCAGGAGTTCCCACCAGAGGAGGGGGTCTCCCCAACCCTTGCCTGACCTTCTTGACTTCTTTCCTTTGCCTCTTGCAAGGAAATAGGACCTACAACCACTCAAGAGTTTCCAAGAAACACAGAGACATGGACACAAGACGGGCTCTGCTAGAGCTGCCCACTCCCTACCTTTCTCTCCTGGTAATCCCGGCAGGCCCGCTGGTCCCGGTGAGCCAGGCTGCCCCGGGGTCCCCATGACGCCCATCTCTCCCTTGGGACCTGTGGCCAGACGGAAGGACAGTGAATGCTGACTGCAGATGCTACAGGTCACAAACAGACAGGGGGCCGGAGTTCACAAATCATTTACCTGGAAACCCAGGAACCCCAGGTGTGCCCTGCTGTCCAGGGAGACCAGGGAGCCCCGACTGTCCCGTCAGGCCAGGCAGCCCTTGGGACCCTTTATCTCCTTTGGGACCTGGCATGTCCAGGCCTGGAAATCCGGGAAAGCCCTTCTCTCCTTTCACTCCAGGAGGGCCTGAGGGGGGTGAAGAGCGAGAGCAGTTAGCAGGATCTGCAGGGAGCCCTGCGGGGCACCCCCCGGGCTCAGCTGGAGCTTTCTGCAGGAGGCACGTGAGCGCGCGTGCCGTGCTGGGGGCTGGGATGCTCCCACCGTCCCAGGTGGCGGCATCTAGAGCCATGGGGACAAGGCCCGGAGACCAAGCCCTCTCCTCTGCCATCAGTGGGCAGCAGCCTCCCCTGCCACCAGCCCCAGGCCTGTCCGCAGTGTTCGCACCCCACGCTAGCTGCTTTTCAACCGTGTTCGGGGATCGTCTTGTCAGCCCACCAGCACTGTCTCACTTCCGGGACTGGTCACTAAAGGCAAAGGCAGCTCCTAGCTATGGGCCAGTTTATGGCACCCACAACTTACTAACCTCCCCCCCCACGGGAAAGTAAGATGGAAATGCCAGTCATTTTAAGTAAACGAAAATGTCACTGAATATACATCTCTGGCAGGTAAACCAAGCTCAGTGGGAGGAAAAGAAAGACGCTGACAACCCTTCATTTAAGTGAACATCAGACCGGTTTCCACAAAGCAGAATCGTCCTTTCCCCCTCTTATTCGCAAGGGAGCACTAATCCCCACTTTACGCAGACTCCTGACGGCCCGTCCCCTCCATCAGCATGCTTTGGGGAAGCAGTAATTGTGGAAGAATGTCCCATCACCTGAGGATCCTGGTGGTCCCTGTCCTCCAGGGGGGCCCATCGCTCCGGGGGGGCCAATTCCAGGAGCTCCTGGAGCTCCTTTGGGACCTTGTAATCCAGGCGGTCCTGGGTCACCTGGATGGGAAGAAATTGTAAATAAACTGCATACAGACCATTTCATGTCTCATAGCACACACTACCCACCCACACGATAAACCACAACCACACAATACCGTAAGGTCTAACCTATGCTTTCCATCATTCACTCAACACACATTTACAGAGCAAGCGACAGGGGCTCTCTGCGTACACCAAATAAACAGGCCCCAGCCCCTGCCGCCGTCTAGACTTGTCTGTAAGAAGTCACCTCGGGGCCTCGGGTGGCTCAGTTGGTTAAGCGTCTGACTCTGGATTTCGGCTCAGGTCATGATCTCAGGGTCGTGAGATCGAGCCCCACATTGGGCTCCC